AAATATTCTGCTATATTGTGTTGGAGAATGTCTCCATGTGACAGTTTGAGCACTTGGTTGCATTAATTATTATTCCTGGATTTTGGCAGAATTCTCTGTGTCACACTAGCTTTTTCTGGTTTGGGTTTTGTTTTTTTGTTTTTTTTGGTGTGGTGTTTTTTTTTTTGTTTTGGTTTTTTTTTGTGGGTTTTTTGGTTTTTTTGTTGGTTTTTTACCTCTGTTCTGTTTTGTTGTCTAGATTCCTTCAATTTAGAGTCACTTTGAGCTGTTGACTGCGACTTACAGTCCATATAGCTGACCTCAACAATTCCCTACATACAATTTTACTATAATTAATTGCATTTCTAATATATATAACTACTTATAGATGAATAGCATTTTCACAAGTAAATTATTAAATACGTTTATCCTATATGTTCCTACACGTTTGCTCAAAGACATAATGGTGCTTATAAGAGAGCACAGAGGATAGGTGCTTGTGAACATTAGAAAACGATCACTGGAGGCAGGGCTAACAAATCCATCGTAGTGCTCCCAGTCAAAAACAGAGGTTTTGAGTAGGAGGCTACATATTTAATGTAATAGTAACAGTTGTCAAATCATCATGCAAGTTCCCATATGTTTTTTGAAAGAATCTGATTTCAGAAGACTAAATTTGATGATTGTTGAGAAATGTGTTAAATGAAGCTTACTAGATTGACCATCTGCTACAGTTCTCTCTCTCTCTCTCTCCCCCCCTCCCCTTTTTGTAGAAATAATGTAAAAGATACCTGAGACTTATAATTCCTCTGTTTAGTAACTTAACCGATATCTACCATTGTTTTGGTAGATACATGTCACCATTCTAAGCAAGCATACAGCATGCAATAAAGCATTGTAAAATAACCATTGGATGATGGTTATTAAATAAAAGCAATAAATATTTTCCTAGTAGAGCATATGATATTTTCTTACACTGTGGCTTTCAGTAGATATATTCCAAAAGGACCTGTGTATTGTAGCCCACTTTGAGAACCTGCATATATCTGAAGACTGCTTGTATTTTCTAACTCTGTTAACTCTGTGTTTTCATGTCCATGTTGATAATTTTAAGTGATGGTGTTTTTCGCTGAGGTTTTTCACTCGTATACAAACTTAAATTCTTTTCCTGAAGCAGAACTGTAAAGAATAGCTGTTTCTCCTTGTGAAGTTTTAGCTAGAACTATCAATGCTTTATCTGTGCTCTGTGTTTGCTTATTGCTGACTAGTTTAGTTTAGTGATCCTAAATGTGTATTATTATCAAACAGTGTCATCTGCAAATGTTTGTTTGAAATAGGTGGTGTGCTGACCCAGTGGTGTTAAGTTGTTTGAAGGGGAAAAGCATTGCAATAAGGTAAGTTTGGTTTTGTTGTTATTGTTGTTTCTTCTTCTGTTTTTGGCTTAAAACTGTGGAAAGAATGAAGTGCTTGTTGTGGGCAAGTTAGAGTGAGTGCTCGTATTTTCTTCCTCTTGCTCTACTACCAAAAGTGCATTTCTCTTTAATGGTTCTGTATTATTCCTCATGCGGTGACTCTTTATTGAGAATGTACAACATTGTTAGTTATCTAGCTTACTCTAGGAAAAAACAAAAGCTAACTGAAATATGAAATGTCTTCATATGTGTAAGTTACATATGAAATTTAATTTCATCACCTTTGCTGGAATATGGTAATGCTGAAGCTCCCATGTAGATCCTCTCGCTTGGGCTTCTAGGGCTGAAGAACTGCTCTAGAACTGCACAAGTTTCCAGAAAGGACCGAAAGCTTAGCAGGAATTTATAGCTATCCATTCTGTTCTTTGCTGCAATCTTTATTATTCTCATAATAATTCTTTTCCACTTACCCAGGTATCCCAGGAAAAGAAATAGTTTAATAGAGCTTCCTGAAGACTATAGCTGCCTTCTGAACCAAGCCTCTCAGTTTAGGTAAGATGTGACATATTTAGTTGTCTTTCTAGGTGTTTTGTCACTTTAGTCACTTTTATGTTCTTGCAGTTACTGTAACTGGTGTTAAAACTATGTACAGAAATTATTTTGCAGAAGTGAATGCACTATTATGGTTATACTGGCCAATGCTAGCACATGTTCATTTTAAATCTGAAACACAACAACTTACTAAATGAAGTGACTTGTGTTTGATAAGATAACATATATAATTATTATAGTTTAATCTACTGGTCATTTTTCACCACTGCAATGTGCATTTGATTTGACCGTAAGCGTGAAAATTATTTTTGCACTGGACACAGCAAGGCCAGAAGGTTAGCACTGTTTTATGACAGGAAAAGTAATTCGGGTTACAAGGGACTTCCGCAGATCGTCCAGTCCAGCCTCCTGCTCAAAGCAGGTATCTTGCAGATAAAATATTTCAAGCAACATAAAAACATAGCCAAAGGGGGCAGATATGTGAAATATGATTATGACATAGTATCTCAGGCTGTTGTTTGTGGGTTGGGTTTTTTTTTGTTGTTGTTGTTTTTTAAGGAACATTTTCCATAGTTAATATTTCTTTTAAGGTTTTAACTCCTGCACTAACATTCTGGTTACGCTTCTTCTAGATGCCCGCGGTCTTCTGATGATGAACAAAAACATCCAGTATTGTGTTTGTTCTGTGGGGCTATGTTGTGTTCCCAGAATACTTGCTGTCAGGAACTGGTGAATGGGGAGGAGTTGGGAGCCTGTACTTCTCATGCTCTTCAGTGTGGAGCTGGAGTCTGTATGTTTCTCAAGTAAGTAGCTAGCCAGAATTTAATGTGTTAAAGAGTAAAGGAAAACATTTGAAGGTCAATATTCACATTGTCAAAGCACTTGATTCTTTTTGTCTGAGATAAGGAAACATTGCTTTGACCTGAAATATAGCTCACCGAAAAGTTAAGAACCTGCTGGGAGTTGTCTGTATTTTAAATGCAGCTATTTTTTCCTTAAGAATCAGGGAATGCAAAGTTGTCCTCATTGAAGGTAAAACCAGGGGCTGCTTATATCCTGCTCCCTACTTGGATGAATATGGAGAAACAGATCCAGGTCTGAAGTAAGTAAATGTTTGCCTGACTTACTTTCTACGTTTGCATTTTGGTATCTCTTTCTTTCTTATACCCATCAGACAAGAAGTTCTTCCTGCTGGCATGTACAGCACTGTAACATGTATCTTGGTCTGGTGAACTTGTTTAACTTCAAATTCCTGATGGCAATTTCCAGTCATGAATGGGTCATTCATAATGACTTTTTTGGTACTGTTAAACTTTCTTAGTTTTCTCAAGGATACTTTGTATACTTTTCATCAGAAATGTGCAACAACTGCCATTTCTGAAATGTCATCTTGGAAATGGCAGTCATTGCTTGTCACATGTAGAATTTTTTCATTTCCAGTGGGGTTGTTGAAGTTGTTGTTCATACAAGTATTTAATATTTTCTGGCTATAGTTAAGAATGTTAATACTAGACTGTTAATGGAATAGTTTGTCTGTTGCTGTTCTGATACACTTATTGGGTATTCTCCATTTTTCTTCTATGAAGAAGAGGCAATCCCCTGCACTTATGTCGAGAGCGTTACCGGAAGCTCCATCTGCTATGGCAGCAACACTGCATCATAGAGGAGATTGCCAGGAGCCAAGAAACGAATCAGATCTTCTTTGGATTCAACTGGCAACTGCTCTGAGTCTCTTGATTTTTAGTTACAACTCTTACCTTTTGGCAGTGCTTTGGAAAAGGAAAGGAGGGTGGCAGTAAATAATCTACTCTCAAGTGGATTCTGTAGTTCAGACACAATTGGTGGATTCTCTAGGTTGGACGTATTACTGATACATTGAAATAGAAACTTCATCTGTGTGTTTTGGGTTTTTTTTTTTCTTTTCCTCCCCCTCCCCCCACCTGCCCCCACCCCCTCAAAAAAAGGAAAACATTCAGGTCCATAAATATTTCCACTTTTTTGAGAAGTTGTAATTGTTTCACATGTTTTGATGAGGACAGCTTCCCAAACGCTGTGCTTCAGGGCACATACCACGTTTCTGTCTCTTCCATGCCTTGAGAATATACCTAAATGGTGTTGCTATGGAAAAAACCTCCTTTACTTTCTTTCTGGGTTCTTTTCCCAAGCTTAGTGAAGCTTTTCAATAGGTCAAGATCTGTGGCATAGTATTGGAGAGGAAGTGGTGCCAGGCCTTTAGTAATCTGTAGCAACAAGTACAGCAAACATTAAGTTGTACAGAAAAAGTCTGCATTCAGCTATATCCTGGGATTTAATGAAGAGTTTTCATTAATGAACTCTTCAAAGGAGAAGTGTGGGATAGAAAGTGCATGGGGGAATTACCATCTTGCTTGTTGCATCAAAAAATAAAGTCCATGCTTTTTGTATTACCAGAACTGCACTTTATCTAATGAATTTGTTCTCTATTAATGTTGTACATCCCAAGAGGTCTAAGGCTACAGCATTTGGCTGAGTTGTGGTTTCTTTTGCTGTTTGTCTTCTAAGATTTTCCCTGAGAACCAAACATGAAAATACTGTTAGGTAGTTGTAGTGTAGTGTAGCTCTGCAAGTTATATAAGAGCCAGAGACTTCAGTAAAGTAGAAGACTTTCAAAGCTATCACTGGACTAAAATCAAGGCCCAAAAGCAGCAAGTTTTAGAATCAGAAATAAGGTGGTTTTGCCCATATTTGTGGAATTTTCCACTCTTCATCCTCTGTCACTGTTGTTTGGAGCCCTGCCTGCGTAAATGAAATCATGTGTTTTGGGGGGCATGTTCAGTGGTTTAATGCCAGTTAGAGCAGCAAAGGGAAAAAAAGGTGGCTAAGTCTGTCTCTTTGCCCTTCAGTAGTTAATAGTACATTGTGATTGAACTCTCTCTCAATGGTATGTGATTGTGCTTCAGTTCTAAATGTTTGTTGTTCTGTTTCCCGAATTTCAACCTTAGTATACGTGAGAGAATTTGTAATGTGATGGGTAAAAATACTTTTCCAGGAAATCTCATTTCTGTGTGAAAGTTTGAAGTTGTCAGTACTGTAAATTTCTGTGCCCCTTTGCTATTTGGATTCTTTTGTGTCATTTTAATAAGGCTTGCAAGGGGAGGTTTTCAAATTAATGTCTCAGAGTGTGTTTTTGTATGATTTCTTTTTGTTGTTTTTTTTTTTTGGCTACTGATGGTATGAGAGATAGTAGAATCACAAATAATGATTTAGATTTAAGTATCATTGTTCTCCTAGTTTTTTAAAGATTTTAGAGTACGTATGAGTGCACTGAACAGCACCATAACTCATCTAAAAATGGAATACCAATGAACTCAAATATTGTTCTCATTTCGAATACTTTTTTATAACTTTTGCTATAATCCTTCCCTGGTGATAAAAATAGTTCGCTTTGGTATATTTTACAGGTATTCTGTTTCTTGCAATTAAGACCATTCTCCTTATTTTGAATCTTTCAGATTTTAAACCTGAATATGAAACTCTTTAAAGACAAACATTAATTCTGTTAGTCTTTTCTGAAATGTATTTGAAATGCATACTTAATTTAGAAAAACAGTTGTCATGAAAACTTGCATGCGCTGGCAATATCTAAGGTCTTCAAAACACTTCCTACCAACAAAAATATTGGATTAAGACTAGCAAATATATGCCTCATTGATACCAAATCTGTATTCACTTACTGTTTCCTTCTGATAGATATTTACCTATTCATTTATCAGAAACTTTCAGTTACCTTGCACTTCACTGATACAAAAATTCCGTTATCAAATATGCAGTGAGATCACTTTATTTTGTTTTCTGTCTGAACTGTAGCACATAAGGACAGGAGCTGGTCTGAGCAGGTGAGCTCATGTTTAAAGCTCTAGAAATTTCTCTGTAGCTGAAGAAGTGGGAGAGGAAAGCTGCATCTTTCTGTACGTTTGCACATACTAATTTAGCAAATGGACTCCCATATCATTCACTGACTAGCATGGTCATCTTTCATTTCATAAATTACTATGCAGTTTTGTTCACTGTGAGTATAATCTGTATTTAGTGATCGCAAGATGCTTATGCCACTGATTTCTGTTCCATCCAGGCTGGCAGAAGGAGTTATTTGATAATGCACATATTGGTATCTTCAATTGCAAAAATGTAAATTTGAAACTTGTATAATGTTCTTGTGCTTTTGAAATAAAATATCTTGTATATGTATATTTAAAAAAAGGAAATAAAGTAACTTCTCATAGATTATTCATTTTTTTTTTCAAGGTGCTTTGACACTTCACAGTTCGTTTTCCAAGAGCATTACAGAAGCATCTGTCAGTATGGAAAAGGAGAAGAGTTAGTAAATGGGTGGTAAACAATACCAGTTATCCCTGTAGTCCATGTCATCATTGTACCAGTTAGTGATGGTGGCACACTTTTTATTATTTAAAGAAATATTCCACTTGAAACTTGTCCTAGTGTTTTACAGGTGCAAATTCCTGCAGTGTCTACCTCAATTTGTAAAAGAAGACTTAAGTACAGAATTTACTATTTAGATGTCCTTAAACTGGTTAGTTGAGTGATTGTGGTTTTGTAGCTTCTCAAAGAAGAACTGTCTGTACTGTCTGTCGGATAGTTAACCACTAGAAAGGGAAAGTTTGTGGTGTTGGTGTAACATGCTGTGTGATACATACTAAAAAAAAAAAAAAAAGTGTTTTATTACAGAGCTAAGCAAACAGCCAAGAAATCTTTTACATAGAAATGGCCAGTACTTCTTGCCCCTTATGTTACGAACTGCTGGCTATCATCTCTTTCTCGCTGCTTTGTTGTAGCTTTGGGCACCATTAAGCTTACAGAGTTTGGGTGTTAATAGTGTTGCTCTGTATGCTTATTCTTAGTAAAGCAAATGTTTTTTTTCAAGAAGCAATTCCTGAAAAGGTAAAAGGTAAAGAAAGATAGATTAAAGCCTACTAGCAAAAATGTTTTGAAGAACACTAGGAGGAGGTGGCCATTTGTTAGGAAAAAAGAACAAAATATCAGCACCATCTCTTGCATAGTAAGAACCTCAAGGTCCAATGTACAGATGTACAAAATTATATAGAGGAGGATTTTGGCCATCAAATGCTTTGCTTTGTGGTTGAAATCCACTTTATTTTCTAGACAGTATCCTTGAATAATCTGTATTGTTAACTAGTCAGATTCGTGATACAACATCTGAAGTTTGTTACTTAGATTCTTTTAACCTATTACTTGACAAGACCTTCAAAGATACTTTCTTCAAAAATGAAAGTTGTTTAATTTCTGTGGCACAATTTCGTTTATTTGGTTTTTGTCTGTGTTTTGTAGGCAGGCTAAATTTGGGGGTTGATACAGAAAACAAATGGACAATAATGAAAATCCACTCCTATACGAGTGTTTCCAACCCAGTATTTCTAATCCTAGCTACACTTCTCTAAACTTACATTCAGTATGGTTGAAAGTGTACATAAAAGAGCAGCTGTGTAAAGGAAGTATGCATTGAAGGAGAGCAAGCTGAAATTCAGAGGGATTATGTATGTTATTTTGTGTAATGGTGAGTAAGAGGAGGTATAAAGTTAAACATGAAACATTAAAACTGGACTTCGAGTTTTCTTTTTATTTCTGTGTATTGTTCATGAGATCAGTGTCAAAAAAGAAGTATAGTTTGTGCCATTTAATTACAGGTTGTCAAACAACTTAGAATCCATCAGAGTTAATTTTAGGAGATTTGTAGGCTTCACGCTTGAGTGAACAAGCTTCAAGGAAATGTTGTGAAGCAGATAGTGGGGACTGTGAATTTTGTGATCATTTCGATTCTTTGCTATATTTGTGAATATCTGTGGTTAGTCTTTTTCAGCAGACTGCAGAACCTTATGTCTCCTTCCTCTTAATAGTGCCTGAAATGTAATATTATCCTCTTTGGGTACAAGTATTGAGATGCAGTCCAGTGCTTGGAGAGAGGTCATCCCAATGTACCAGAGTTTCTGCTTGAAAGTTATCCAGAACATAACCATGGCAGCCTGAGGAATAATCCACTCTAGGTGATAAAAAGCCTCCAAGCTTCTTTCATCCCATTTTTCTTTCTGTGAATCATGCTGACCTTTAGTGAAAGTGGCAAAACCAATGTATCTCAATCTCATGATACTGCAGATGATCTAGGAATATTTATTTGCCCAATTCAGACTTACACAAAACTTCATTGAGCAATTCGACTTTCGTACTCCAGGCAGTCTGCCTGAGTTAATTGACATACCGGAGCAGGACAAAATCATCCATTTAAGTGATGGTCTGCTCATAAATAAGGACTCCACCTCTGTCCGATGAGCTTCACATCTTTATGATTCTTCACTAAACCAGAGTACCGCATGCAGAGCCTAAAGTGCTCCCCCATAGTGGGAAACTGATACAAAGCACATGTGTATCAAATTATTTGTAGGATTTTAAGTGTCATGAATCTTGTGTTGTAGAGAACTGCATGATTGCATGTAATTTAATAAAAACAGTTTGCAGAAGGGAGGTTTCTAGCGGCTAAGGAAATGTTCTGTGTTCATTTATTTTAATATAAATGAAACTCTAAACATGCTGTATTTGTATATTTCTTAATAATTATCTTTATGATCAATGTAGAGCAAGTGTTTTCAGTGGTAATCAGAAAGTTTAAAGAAAAAAAAATTGCAATTCCGGCAGGAACTGTCATAGTGCCTTCACCAGAAACTGAACATTAAAATGCTTCCTTTTTTTTTTTTTAATGAGGAACTTCATAAAGAAGAAGTTTTAATGCATAGGTGAGTTAGTTACTCTGAAAGTTGCTGTTGTGCGAACCTATTGTTATTAATTCGGACTGGATTAAGCATTAATAACAAATAGGATAAGAAGTGTCCCCCAAATCGTATTTATTTCTGTATCTGAGCAGATGCTCCGGCTTAAAGGCTTGGCTTGCTAATGCCATCTTTGTCTTTATAAATTACAGAGAATTAAAGATGGAGTCTGTGCTGTACCTGAATTTGTTTTCTTGATCCAGTGGCTATAATGTTAAATACTCCAGAAAACCCAAACTATTTTGACAGGTGCTGTAAAGCAAGCCACATATGTAGGGTGCACTTCCACTGTCTGAGGAAACTAATACATACAAAGCAAAGAAGAAAGCATTTATTTAAAAAAGTAAATTTTATCCTCATTGCTGTGAAATGAACTGTCATCTTTTTGTAATATATCTGTATCAATGGGAAATCTGCCTGTACAGGATAGAAATGAACAATCTAATCACTAAGTAATTGCTGGTAATAGTCAAGATGACAACTGTTCCCTGTGAAATGTATGCTTGTACTCAATTAATTTCACAAGTGATCACATTGCTAGCCACGGCTGCAGTTTTTGGCAGCTGGCTGAGAGACAAAGGTTAACTTTCCAAATATTAACTGGTCTTTTATGGTAGAATGTGTTCTCCTCATATGAAAGTAAATGAGCTGTGTGGAGGCCAGGAAAAATGCGTAGCCAGACAGTTATGCCTCTGCTCTTCATGCTAATGTGTTACAGCAACTACTGCATGAAATTTCTTTGTCTTTACAGAGAAGCTCAGGCTGGATGATCATTTTAGTTCACTCTTCTCTCCAAATCTATTTTTCAGAGCAGATTCCTGACAAATCTATCGTTCAAGGGCCTCAGGACCTCAACTAGAGAGTTATCAAAAGAGTAAGCTCACAGCTCTTCTAATTCTGCAAGCTAAATAGTTGACAGAGAGATTCTTAAATCGTGCAAAACGAAATGTCAGGTTTCATCTGCTTCTACACGTAGATGCATTTTGCTATTAGAAAATATTTCTTAAAACATGGAGTAAGATTTCCCTCTCTTTTTTTTTTTTTTTTTTTAAATTATACTCTTATTTCCTGTGTTACAACTATTTTCATCATGCTGGATTCCTCACTTTATTTTTTAAAGCGTTTTATTTTTTAAGATTTGCATATTCTTAGTCCAGTTCATTCAACTTTTCCTAGTGAAACAAATCTACAGAAATAATTTCTGGTTTTCTCTGAGTTATTTCTGATTATCTTACGCCTTTTGGATATTGAGCAGTCTAGAACTGTTTGTCCAAATGTAGATGGACTAAAATTGTGTTCAGGAAGTGATTGCTATTGACTGACACATGTGGCACTTTGCATACTCATCTGAAAAAAAAAATTACAGTTTTAAAAAATCATATTCTGTTGCAAAGTGTGATTAATTTGTAGTACATGACTGTCTTTCTTCTTGATCTCTTAAGATACTACAACTTTCTGTGTTAATTCTCTTCTGGTATGTATTGGCTAATTTTAGTGCTGTTGGTAAGGCTCAGGATGCTGTTGTGCTCGGTGTTCTGCAACACCACCGCCACAACAGACTGCGATGCAGAAGTAATATTTTTGGCTCTCAGAAATGGTTGAAGGAATAATGCACCAGTTAAGTTTAATTCCACACTGGACAAAGTGATTGAAATAAACAGAATTAGAGACATAGGTAAATGCAGTGCAAAGTGAAGAGTCAACATAGTTCTTGTAAAAGGAGCTCTCAGCTTACAAATCTAATTCTTTGAAGGAGTTAATGAATGTGATGTGAGGATATTGAGCCAGTCAGTAATAATGTAGACTTCAAAATATGAATAGAGTCCTCCAACTAACTCATAGAATTAGAAGAAGCTGTCATGAGATAAAAAGGGAGATCTGGTTCAAATCAGCAGCAAAGTAAAAGAATAAATGGTATATTTTTACAATGGAAGAAGGTTAGCAACTGAGATCCACAGAAATCTGAGTGGGGTTTTTTTCGGCATTTTCAAAAGTGATCTGAAAAAGGGAATTGTAAAGTGGCAAATTCTGCTAATGATACAAAGATATTCCATAAAAAAGCTTATTTTGAATATTTTCAGGAGGCTGTTACGAAACTTAGTGGCTGGATAGTAACAGAAGATTCAGTTTTGGTAAATGAAAATTAATGTAGCTATGCAAAAACTAACATCTTGCAATAGACTAGTCTAGACTTTTTCAGTTGGAAGGGACCTACAAGAGCCAATTCAGGGCTGACCAAAAGTTAAAGTGTGTTGTTAAGGGTGTTATCCAAATGCTTTTTAAAAACTGGCAGACTTGGGACATTGACCACCTCTCTAGGAAGCCTGTTCCAGTGTTTGACCACCCTCTTGGTACAGAAATGCTTCCTAATGACCAGTCTAAACCTCCCCTGGTGCAGCTTTGAACCATTCCCACGCGTCCTATCACTGGATCCCGGGGAGAAGAGCTCAGCATCTCCCTCTCCATGTCCCCTCCTCAGGAAGCTGCAGAGAGCAATGAGGTCGCCCCTCGGTTTTCTTTTCTCCAAGCTGGGCAAGCCCAAAGTCCTCAGCTGCTCCTCACAGGCCATGCCCGCCAGCCCTTCACCAGCTTTGTTGCCCTCCCCTGGATGCATTCAAGGACCTTCACATCCTTCTTAAATCCTGGGGCCCACAACTGCACACAGTACTCCAGGTGAGGCCGCACCAAGGCTGAATACAGCGGGATGATCCCCTCTCTCTACCGGCTGGTGATGGCGTGTTTGATGCACACCTCAGAATGGGGCTTTGCCAGGGCTTGCTGCTGACTCCTGTTGAGCTGCTGTTGACCAGCACCCCCAGATATATATTCATGTCAAAGATATTCATAGTATTTTTATGAACAGTTCTGTGAAAATGTTATCTCAATGCTTAGAAACAGTCAAAAGGGCAAGCAATGATAGGAATTCTTAGGAAAAGGACAGAAGACCTGTCTAGTTCATGATCTCTTCAGCTTTACACAGTGTTGTTAATTTGAAAATAATAAATGAAGATGAGTGATGAAAATTACAAAAGATGTGAAAAAACTTCCGTAGAAGGAAAGGTTAAATAGCAAATTCTTCAACTTGGAATAACAGAGGATTGTAAAATTGGGAATGACATGGAGGGAATAAATAAGGAATGACCATCAGCTACCTCTTACAGCAAGAATTAGGGGATACCTGATCAAGTTGTCAGGGAGACAACAAGCAAAGAGAAGCAGTTTTTCAAACAATGCAGAATTGAATTGTAAGAAAACAAAGTCTGACGCTCATTGTCATAAGGGTTTTGGATATCAAAACCACAAATGGGTTTAAAAAAAATACTATGCAAATTCATAGAAAAAAATGCCCACTGAGATTTATTAAAACACAGTGATACAAATACCCTCTTTGTCACACCAAGTCCCAAACTGCTGTTTCCTGGAAGTTAGGAGGCTTTGTCAGGGAAAGAACTATTTTCTGATGGTCCTGCCTCTTGCGTGCCTTTTGCAAAACATCTGCTACAGGCTACTATTGCAGATGGACCCCATCTGTCCATTTTTATTTTTAACATACTTAAATATAGGCCTAAAATTTTAAGCAGTGAAGCAATTGCATTTGAAATTATGATCATGCATATAGCCTGCTTGAATTACGGTACAGATTTTTACATCACACACTTTATTTACAATATATTCTTACAGTATAGTTCTTGCTTATTCTAGTGTTTTAGAAAACAACATTGTTTAGACAGGTAAAGGAATTTTTACTGTTACTTTTGCACAATTTCAAAAGCAGGAATAGTTCTGCTTTGAATGTCTCAGTGATACAACTTCTTTTACATGATTATAATACAAAGAATGCACAAGCTGTCCAAAGTTATATTCAAACAATGTATTATTCATAACAGTAACAAGTAAAATGTTTTATTTGGTCTTTTATCCTCTACTCTGTATCGGTAAGTTTTTCCTGCTTACTATTAATGATGAATTACAGTCACAGGCCATCCTGTAACTGTAAGTGTCTTGGGTGTAGAAGGCTTTCACTCCACGCATTGACAAAGTTCCTGAGCACCATACTAGGAACGTGATGGGAGATCTGTCAGTCTATCTTTGCCTTCATTCGTTCCAAATAATGTCTTATCCTCCAGCCCCTGGATCTATGTAAGTACTTTTGAAATTAGGAGCTTTTAAACATCTAAGATCATCAGTATTTTTTTTATGGGAAGTATCTGCATGTTTTTAAACTTGTGCTATCACATGCTACTTGGAATTTTTAATATCCTGGCATGAGCTGTCGATTAGTTTTCTTGAGCAGAGAACTCCTTTCAGCAGTACACATTGACTTTCAGGGAAGTATGGCAGCTGGCTTTCTCTAAACTATGGAGGGGGAAAGATGAAGAGATACTTCAAACTATTTTGGAAAAAAAAAAAAAGTGAAATGTATTATGCTAACTTTCATTGACTTCAACTCAATTTCACTTAACTAGCAGGTTCTTTTAGAAAGGCTGCAGTATATGTATGATTGGGCTAAAATTTTCCCTAACCTAACTTGGACTAACAGAGCTTTCATTTCACAGTTTTTGTCTGTCTCTCCTTTTTTTTTTTTTTTTTTTTTTAAGAATCTATTTATCCTTTGTAATAATGTCTTTTGGTATTTCCCTGCTGCTGGAATTTCTGTAGATGTAATGACAGTAATGACAAACTTTGGTACATAGTAGACCAATCTGTATGTTAGTAGATGTAGACCCATCCTATCTGGAACATTTGCTTGTGCATAATGATTTTTCTGACATATTCAGACCATGACAGAAGTATGTAAGCAAGGGAGAGAAAGTGGGGGAAATTCCACCAGTTTGTTTTGTGCAGTGTGCAGTCTGTGGTTTGTTCAATTGTCTTATTAGGTTTTCTACCTTTTTTTTCCCCACCAGTGAAAAATCTGGTAACTGTAAGACTGTAATATGTCAAAGCTACACTTATTATGTTATTTCTTTGAAGACTTGCCTAGCTAGCTGCTGGGATAGATTTTGTTGTAATATTGTTTTTGCCACAGTTTGTGTTTTGAACATCAATATTGGGGTCGTTCATGCCTGAGACAGTGGAGATCTGGTTGGCTTTGCCGAGGTTCTTAATGATACTGATGTTGTATTTGGCAGTTTCCACAAAGCTGTTTTCTAGTAACCAACCATCTGATTCACCCTCCAAATCTCCTAGCAGAAGGACATTCTTCATTGCTGTTTGTAGGTACCGGACACCAATAAGTACAGAGAGCTGTAATAAACAGTTAATGGTTAAACAGAGAGTTCAAATTACAGCCTCAATCCTACCACTAAGTCAGCTTTCTGACTTGTGTATTTACAGACCTAATAATAAATATTGAGTAAAGCAGATAAATTTTTTATCCCAGCAATATATCTAACCACTCTCCCAATTAATTACATTTTTTTAGAAAGAAAAATATCAGGGAGAGATTGATTGATTCTCTCTCCATTCTTCAGGTAGCATTCCCACTTGCACGTTCCTGGAATTACTCGGGAACACTGCAGCCTCAGAGACTACAAGTAATTGATGTAGAACGGATAATCAATTAATGGAACCATCAGTCACTGGGAAAAAAAACTTAAATCATAGTGTGTTAATTTCTGTGGATTTTTTTCCACTGACCTTGATTAAATCTCTATTTCCTCTAAGGAGTTTAATCATTCGTATGTAAGCCACGTGCATCCTACATGCCAATGCATTAAAATTAAGAAGGATGGCTTGTAGTAGAGGCTCAAGGGTAAGTTTAGGAAAAAGCCCCGCTTTCATAGTTCTGTTGGAATCAAGATCAGCGTGCCCAGCTTGTCAATATTTAAGAGAGCACAGAGAGCCGTCTCACAGCTTTTTCATGTGCTGCCAAAGGCCTGTTGTTTCTGGCACCACCGCCCCATCTAGCACTGCTTGAGGACTCTTGTGAACTGTTTTAATTATAGTGCTAATATTTATGCAATACAGCAATAAGCAGAAAACTAAAACTTATTAAAAAGGGAAGAAAACTGTATTTTAGTCTATGCCATTGAGGGGTCCTTTACCTGCAGATGACAACATCCAGACAACTTTCTTTACAGATGCCAGCAGAAAGACCGCATCTTTGCGGGTGTATATGCTTGCCTGTGATATGCTGATTTTGATTGCATAGTAAGTAGTCTAATCTACATGTAAAAAGGTATGCCATGTTGACGAGTACTATCAATGTGGCGAAGCTATGTAATGCAAAAAGGAGGCTCAATTTTTACTATAAATAGAATTTATGTATTCATCTAAAGGTCTGCTCACATTATTATATTCTTTGTTAAAACTGACTTAAAACAATCCTTAGACCTTCTCACCTAATTTCCTTCCAGTTGTGTCACTGCACATATTATCTTGTATCTGATCCCATAAATGCTTCAGGGAAGGGAACATGCCATAGTCTATTGAAAAGCTCTCTAAGTATGCAGAATTTCATACATCATTTCTAATAGTTCTCATCTTCAATGAGATTTGCTTCTGCTCTGGGGACTTTGAGAAATTTGTCTGTACTAAAGGAAGTCCTACAACATTCTGGAAGTGCTTGTGCACTTTGTTAGATACTGAGGCACTTCTTGTGTGTTACACCGTAGTTGTTTCCCATCCTAGACAGCAGGAAGACTGATTAATCTGACACCAACCATTTTGATGAGACTTACCTCAAACAACCAAATAAGCAATGCTGCAATACCGATGGATCTCATAATAGCTGTGTAGTAATCCAGCAGGGCCTCTCTGCATCCCTTCACCCAAATATTGAGCTCCTCTGTCAGAAAATCGTAGTTGTAGTGAGCGCTGTTGTTTGTCAGCTGGTACTGGATACAGGGCCGTGGGGAGCTTGGGTTGCAGCAGCTGAAGGGTACTCCATCCACCAAGAACTTTCCATCAACATTGCTCTTTAGACGGCTGCAACAGGACAGAAAGTTTGAGCATTACAAATCTGGTATCAGCAGCAGATGGCATCTGTGATTTTTATAAAAAGATATAATGCAAGTCTGCTGCAATGTAGGTCTCTCCAATGTAACAAAAAGAAGATGGGAATATATTTCCAACTGGAAAAGTTGCCTACTGCAAGAAAACAGATTTTTTTCATTTGCTGTGTTTCTGAAGTGTGGTATCAGCACAGTATCTCACGTGGTTCTTAGTAGTGCGCGTGCAAGATGTGGATTCAGTGTTCATGGAGATGTTGCCTTTTTAGGTACCTTTGCGCTGAAAATACTAAAGACAATTTCTGAACTTGTTTATCCTGGTGGAACTCTAAACAAAGTTATGGCCCTAGAAATCCTGTGTTTCACTACTTCTGGATTGATTTTCAACACAAGCATTCCTTAAGAGAGAACCTAATACAAGAACAACTTTGCATGCGACAGGAACCACTGGAAATTGTCTGCTGGCATTTCATCATTGTACCCATGTGCAATGGCTGGTTTGGCACGTGTTTTGAGACTAATTCACAAGGGAGTTCCTACTTCTTGTAACTATACTTTTTCTAACTTTTGAAACTGTATTTATTGCTTGAAATTATTCCGTACCCTCCCCTATAAGATCAGGAGAAAAACAAGTGGGAGAAGAAGAAAGATAAAGAAATAGGAGGGAGAGAAAAAAAATCATAGGATGGAAAGAGAACACAGTCTCAGATTAATCAAGAGTTTCTGGAACAGTTAAATGAATCTTTGACATCCATTTTCCTTGTATTACCTGCTCTTCAGCTAGTGCATCCTTGTGAGGACTTCTGTTTCCAAGCAGACTCTTCAGAGAAATAGATTTTCCATACATTGGAGAGTGTATAAGGTGTTGAGAGATGCTCTCACACTTTGGGGAAGTAGCCTGTAAGCCTGTATCTATTTTCATGCTCATTGCACAAAGCTTGCTTCCTTAGATAGCCCCACAGGTGAGAACCATAGCCTGTTTTAATGAAGCCTATGCCCTTTAGCCTTTGTTAGAGCGCCAGAATACACGAAAGACAACTTTCTCTTAGATATCCAGCTTTCACCATTTGCTAATAGTAGAATTTTTAATATTTTCGAAAACTTATCCCCTTTATTAATGTTTACAAATCATATTTTCCTGTTCCACTGTAGATGATCCAAATTAAAGGGAAGGAAGTCATCACAAGAAGCTCATCAGGTGAACAGGAGAAGCAGAAACTCTGCGGTCCAGTGTTCTTCCAGCATTTTGGGACTAAATGTGTCCTTCAAAAGAAACCTAAGCTGCTAGGTAGATCAGTATTTGTGGCTGTGGTGGGATGGCAGAATAATTGCCTTCATTTTATTGTTGTGTGCCTGCTAAATACAACCTCCTTCCTTTCTTTTTTTTTCTTTTTTTCTTTTTTTTTTTTTTCGGGTGGTGGTGTGTTTTGTTTTGTTTAACGTTCTGTCAAAAATATCTTCCTCAAAGATCTTTCCAAGTAACTCAGGAAGTTCATCTCCATTTCCTACCTGGGAGTGGGTTAGGCATGCATTCCTCTCCATTTTAAAGTCTAGCACTTCACTTGGTGGCCATGATATTCCTGGTAATGGCAACAGAATGAAACCAATGCAAAAGAACCCAATAATCAACTGAAACCAGACTTAAGTGTGCAAGCAGTGTAACAGGCATAGGCAAAACCACTCCCTGGGAGGGAAACGAGGAAGGGGGAGCCAAAGAGGTACAAAACGGAGGGCTCAAAGGCCAGAGGAGAAAAGAAATCTCACAGAGGGAGGAGAGGAAGGCTGGCACATTGTGAAAGAGCAGCTTTTACCTGGGTCAGCAAAATACCCTGTGTATTTCAGTGACATGACCCAAATACAGTACAGCATCTAAAATGGTTAAAATACAATGTATTAAACTGGGTCTTCAGCTTTTCTTTTGATCCCAAGCATCAATTTAATTAAATTTTTTTCTTCCTGCCACATGTTATGAAGATGAATCTTCTTTCTCCTGCCAACAGTAGCAGTTTCCAGACTTGGGTTATGTCCCCCTGCCATCATGTTCCCTCTACTAGTGGCAGATAAAAGAATGATGTATCTCGGTGCTGTCAGAAGGGAAGACCTCCGTAACAGATCTGAGGGAATGAGACATTCACTGGTATTTGTTGTTGCAATTCAAAGTTGTTATGGTATTGTAAGGCAAAACTTGCTTTTGAGAATATAAAAAGATGATTTTTACATTTTTACCCAACCAAAGCAATGATAGGATTGTACCGCTGTAACCTGCCTCATCCTCTTACAGTTCCCATTGATTCTCTCCATTTCTTGTCACATTGTGGTGTTGACAATGCAGATATAGAAGAAAGGGGAGGGAAGAGAATTATGAAGGAAGGTAGAAAGTTCAGTTTTGCAAAGGTTACATGTGAGTTGACAGTATGTGAGTCCTCACCTGCTTTGCCTCTTGATCTACCAATTACTAATTGACATACAGTACAAGATGAAACCAAGAAAAATATTTGGTTCCTTCTCAATCCTTTCTGGACATTACCAGCTGGACTTTGTTTCCAACGATTTCATATCAAATGTTTCTCTACCAGATTTCTGGAAATCATCATATAATTTGGTTATACAGCACCAACTTTGATTCTAGCAATCAAGATGGAATTATCCAATTTATATGCAGTAAAAGAAATTCTGCAGTGTAATTCCCTCACACACATTTCACTGGCATCTTCTGCCTACATGAGGCAAAAATTAACTGACAGTGTATTTTCAAAATAATGGCAGAGCATGGGTGACCCTGCCGAAGAAAACGGAGTTTAGCTAAGACCCTGGGTAAAACATTACTGTTTCTGCATGTCTCACAGAGATAAAGGGCAATTTATTTTACTTTTGTCCTCACAATAGGATACTACTCTTAAGTTCCTGTGAACCATCTTTGTTGTCATGTCACTTTTCAGTGTAGAACCAGGATTTGAAACATCTCTCAGGTCAGTCTGCTTTGTGTCACTGTGGCTTTCCAAATTCTCTCTTGAGAACACTTGTTCTAAAGCTTGCTTTGTTTCCACAGCCAACTGCCTTATGCATGTTGACATCTTCTTGTCCATATTCTCCTAGGTCCTGTCCTCTGGTATATTTGCAGTTCTGTATATGCTTTGCTATGCTAGCAGTTTCAAGTTGCAAATTCTGTGAAAACAAGATCTTTGGCCTCCCTTCTCCTGACTTTATTGTCACTGATTTTTGAGTTCAACAAAAGAGAACACTTAACAAGTGCCAGTCAAGCTTTTTGTGTTTGTCTTTTCCAGGAATATACAGCATCAGTGAAGACTTTTTTCAGCTTTAGAAGAATTTTTACATATTGGAATGTCTACTTTTAAAAATTTTTTATTGTTACCTCTTCTATTGTCCATAAGTATTACCAGACTCTTCTTTTTGAGCATATAATTTCACAATTGCTGTATCATGTGAAGCAGCACCAAAAAGAAACCCTAAATAAATTTCAAGGGTTTTTCTCCTCCTTTTTTATGCAGTGTACATGGTGTTGGCAGTTTCTCACATGTGAACGTATAGATTTGAACCTGGGTTTGCAGCATCTAATATCTTGAAGGAGAAACATCTTTCAGTGTTTAGGACTGACTATGCAATGTATTGATAGTACAATCCTTTTTTTTCTTTCCACTATCAGCTGACTATAATTGAAATTTTGAGGTAGCTAATTCACCACATTGAAAAAAGAAAGATACATCTTTGCTTTGCTTAGCATCCCTAAAAAGTTAGCAAAAGGCAACTTTGATTTTGCATGTAGTTAGCATATTTTGTGAGTAACGTGGCATTCTACAGTTTTTTGATTGAGACAAAGGTTCAGTAAAAACTAGTATCTACTTTGCTTTCTTGAATGAGTTTTTCTCCTAGAATTGTTTATGACTGGTAAATACTTACTCCAGAACTTCCTTGGAAGCCATATTCAGATAACGAACAGATACCCACTGAATTTCAAACCAGTCTCTAAAGCCATTGTTTCCACAGCACTGGAATCTAATTTGTAACATATCCACTGTTTTCTTTAAGAAACATCGTCCAGGTATGTCCGTGTCCTTATAGAACTTAATAGCATCCCTCAGTCCCAGATAGAGAGACTCTTCCAGCTCGTTCCTCATGGTATAGCACATGAGAGCACCCACCAGGATGCAGAAGGTAAAACAGAAGGTACATACGATGTATGGAAGCATAACTAGTTTCCATCGAGAGAACTTGTTGGCATCTGAGCAGTCATAGCAGATTTTGCCACCCAGAAAGTTGATGATACATGCTATGACTCCTACAGAGATCAGCATGTTGGGGACAGAGTTAACATCCCCTTTTGCCATCACTTCATTGCGCTTCTTGATCTCTATTTTCAGAAAGAGGCCAAGACTGAAGAGAATGATCCCGCTCAGTACAGAAACCCAGTTGAGGATCCACAAGATCTGGGCCAATTTGTCCCTTTTAGTTTTGGTGAATTTTACTTTGAGGACAGCCATAGTCAGATCAGCGTTAGGAAAAGAAGCGTAGGTCAAGGAAAGCTCGTAAGCTGATTAGCAGCATGTATCCGAGGCATGCAGTAGAAATCTGAAGGAGAGAGAGAGAGATTACTGTCTGTTTGTCTTGGTATTTATAGAGACTAGAGAAAACTTCCTGTACAGCGTCAGGCACTCTGAGTCCTACCAAGGGAGTGCCCCAGTGAAATTTATTGCTTAAATTTCATACGATGCGAATCACTTAAAAAAACCCCAAACTTCTAAGGACAGACTAGAACAATTAAAAACAAGTGAACAGTAGAGCCAACGAACTCTGGATTCCTAGGGATTTTTGTCAAGAGCAATTTTCTGTGCAGATTTTCTGATGTCTAGAAGTGAGCTGATCTGCTGGCTTTCCCTCCAGAAGACTCACGATGCCTTTCCCTTCTACTTGTTGCCTGTATTTTCTTGATGATTCTAGGAATTTGTAATTCTTAGATTACTGTGTCATGCTTAGATTTGCATTCAGAAGTTGAACAAGCAGGACAAACAAGCAGATACATACAGCATAATTACATAAGCCTTTTTTCCATATGGAAAAAAAAGGTGAAAATAGCACCAGAAGCATGGTATCCTATGGGTATTTTTAGTCATTTCATCAATTATGGGCAGTAAAACACGATTTTGCTAGCAAAAAGCAATTTTATTCCTACACTTATACTACTAAGATATGATCACTCTTGCAAAAGCTGCAGGGAGAACTGACTGTGGTTATCTGCAGACACAAAATGTTCAATGAATAGTTAAGTGATCAATGACTCTGTTGGTTTTCTAGAAAATATTCTCAACATTTTATTAACTTTTAAGTGCTGTGGCCTTGATTGTATTATATTACTGGTGAACAAACCAGCCTCCACCACATTTTTCCATTTGATCTGGCATAAAAGCACTACCATTTTTATGTGAAGTAACATATCAACCTAAAAATAAGCAGAACATCCTCACACCTTAAGAAAAAAAATCAGCAGTTTAAGATGCTCTGTTTCTTTCTTTACCTGATTTGCCCTCCTTTTTCCTGAAAGTTCTTATTCAAAACCAGATTTTGGAATAGTGTGATGTATTACATGAGGCCTATTTAATCCTTAGGGAATCACCATTACTGTCTTAACCTCTGCTCCTGCAGCTAAAGTTCCTTAGTCTTTCCCTTTGTCCTGAGGCTGTGACAATCATACCTTATTCCAACCCGCCTACCACCTGTAGACTGGTTTTCTTTCTGAGTCCCCCATATTCCAGTCAGAATCCTAAACTTCATTCCTGATTGCACTTTCTGCAATAACCCTGACTTCTTCACCGCCCCTTGGAACTGCTTCCCTTCCCCCCTCTGAAGAAGACTCTGCAGCCCAAGGGACACCACTGTATCTTTTTAAAGGGGAACCATTTGAAAAATTACAGGAAACTACTCATGTGTTTACTAGTTTGTATATTTCATTAGCTTGTTTTTGATACCCCTACTCATGTTATTAACAGTCCTTTAATAACTTTCCCATGTGATCTACAGACTTTATTTTTCTCTCCAAAGATCACTATAATGGGCATAAAATATATTCAGAGAGATTGCCTGCCCCCTCCCCACCACGATTTTCAAATCTGATATTTCAGAGTTTCACAGCTGAAGGAGAACTTCTGTGTTTCAAGGGCTGTCTTCTTTTCCCCAGCTATTAGTGGATCTAAGAAAAGATGCCATCTTTCCCAGCACTTCTAACCTTGCTTCTCTGCAACACTACTAATAATTTCTCCTTTGCACCTCTCCAGTTATATCACAATCACAGGCAGAGAGCAGCTAGTAACACCTGAGATCTAAAACCTGTTAGAGCTGGAGAAACGTGTTTTCAGCGTACACGATGTGGATGGAGAACTATGCTGCCGTACCTCAGGATCAAACCATGAACTTTTACCCTTCTTCAGTGCTTCTGATGCTTTGTGATTGCCTTTCCTCAACAAGTGCAAGATGTGTGGAGTTGTTCTTCCTTTCCTCCCAGAAAAGCTGCTCTCAGCATGGTCTTGTACTAATTTAGTAACTTTCATTTACTATACAACTATGTATTTATATGATTATACAGTCATCTAATTCCACTAATATAATGGCATGTATAAACCATAAAAGGTAATCCTGTAAATTTGGGGAAACAAAGAAGTATAAGCAGCATTATTCTTGTATAATATTTTTTAAGCTAGTGGACTGTACTACTTAACTTCATCTAAATCAAACTGGCATCAGCTACAACAGCATGAAATCCACCTGCAGACAAGCTGTGCAGAAGTAGGGCTACACCTACCCAGTAAAGGATCCACAGCTGCAACGAAGCTTGACATTGGGTAAGCAGATTGTTGTACGGCACGGTTTAAAAAGGTAATGGTATCCCAGCATCTTCATCTGTATATGTCGGAAGGAATCAATTCTATTTGTACAGGCAAGGAATAGGTTGTTCCATTCATATTAGGATATAGTTAGGTATCTTCATGCGTTTGAATATTCAAACATTTTAATGCCTGTGAGATCTGATTAATTCACGTTCCATTTATTTTCTCCTGCATTTACAGAGGAAGCTAATTCCCCTCAAAACTATTCACCTCTGTATATCTTTTGTAGAATACACAGAACAGTTTGCAAAATGTACAGTATTTTTCCTTACTGGCTTGATTTCCAAGGGTGTTGAGGCCAGCAGCTCTCTGACTTTAAAAAAAAGGTCCTAATTTTAATGATTGTTAAGGCTGATTATCAGTTATGGTTGAATATTGATTGTGATCACATTGTGATGATTGTATTGATTATCGTGATGAAATACTGATTATTGATAGACACCTCTGTACAAACAGTCCTGTTCCAGAAAACAGTCATTTATAAAATGACAACGCTTTCTTCACACGATTCTTCTATGGTATCCTTCAGACCTCATTTAAAAAGATCGTGCTCTGCTGGCACAGAATTAAGCCTCCATATGAATTCAGCTGACAGCCTGTCTGCTAAGCCTGGAGAGACAGTATCTTTGATCGCTTCACCAGTTAAGCAGTTCATGACATGCACTTAAATAGCTGTAGATGGCTGCTGCAAATAGGTTTATTTGCCCCTGATACTTGGGTCTCAGAGGTCACAGTAGAGAATCTGTTGCAAAATTTCCTAGCTGCTGATACGCAGTTCACGTTCAAGAGCCAGTTTATATGAACACATCACTCACTGTTCATTTCTATGAAATACATGTAGGTATTTGCAACACGCCTCTAAATTATTAGGCACACATAGAGTTACAGTGTTACTGAGAACTCCCTGCTTGCCAAATACCTTTTGCTTTAACCTTTGAACAAAAGTTGTAAACAGTTCTAACTTTACTTAAAATTAATCTACTCAAGAGGCATTGTTGATTTTGGAAGATGTAAATTTAAGACTTTGTGTCATATTCTAGCCATAAAGAAATTTGAAGCTGAATTCCATAAGCAGGGATACATTCAGTCTCGTGTAGCTATTCTGATAGAGCTCCCTCCCCTCATTTTCAGATGCCTAAAGTTAAAAAAATGAAAAATTTATGTGCAACAGCAATTCTCCTAGCAAGTCCTTGCTGCCAGTAACTCTCATATGGTATTTCCAGCTTCCTTGATGCAACTTTAGTATTGTTATCAGACCAGATTTCATGGAATATTCACATTTGTCTAACAGAGGTACCCACGCCACAGTCCTCCAGGGGTATAAGATCTGCTATTTGATATGAACCACGCTGCAGAGGAAAGGGGGGGAATGACTGGGTGTTGTGGTGTTGTAGTGCAGTGACCACTCGTTGACTGACCCTGGCTGTCACTGATCTACTGAGATTGCACAAAGGGTCTTGGGAACACACTGTGCTTTTCATGAAACTTTAAGCGCATCGAGTCTGGGACAGAAGAACAACTTACCTACTCTGTTCCTATGTTCCCAGCTTCTACATGGATATTTCTCTTGAGATTATTTTTTCCTATGCTTTACAGTTACTGAATTTATTTTAATGGGAAGACTCTCTGCCCATCGTAATGAATTTTGTAAATACACCATAACATTATTCACAATGAAGTATTGAATATATTTATTAGCATAAGATGTATTGCAACACGCGTACTGCTGCGTGGTAGCATTTTTTGAGCATCATGAAGAAAGTTCTTCCAGCTGAAAGAACTGAAGTACAACTGTGAGCTAAAAGTGTCATTGCCTTGCTCTGCAGTATGTATCTCGTTCTTCTCCAAGTTATATTTGGCAGTGGGCTGCTATAAAACCACAAATGCTCCTAAGTAGTTCAGTGAAACAAAACACCTTTATCAAAGTTCTTAGAAACACACCTCGCCATTGCACACGAGCCACTCCAGAGTTATGAAGCATATACACACAGACATTTTTTCCCCAGCTATGGGACAGCAAGCTGGATTTTGATCTATAAAGGGAGAAATATTTCAACAGAAGAAGCCCAATAAATGTGGAAATCTCTCCCATATTATCGATACTGTTCTCAGGCTTTCTTTGTCTAACTCGCTTCAAACACAGCTTCCATCAGCATATGGTAGCTTTTTGCTTCCAAGGTGCTACCTACCTGTTCCTTTGCTATCAAATTCCCCTAACTACATCACTTATTAAATGCAAATTGTCCAAAGAAATCTGTCTTGCAATTTTGTCATAAACAAACTGCATCTTATCTTACCAATTTCACTAATATCTTCCATTTTCACTATACACATGCTCCTATCTGTGACTTATTGTAAAAGAGACCACTAACCTGCTTCAGAGGACTGAACACAATCTCGAAACTAGTAACTTGCTGAATACAGGGCAGAAAATACCTGGATCAGGCATCCTGAGGAAGACTCAAGTACTGATTTCCTGATGTCTGTGTGGTTCTTCTGTCTTTACACTGACTCACCAATGGAGACAGAGAAAAAGACTTCAACTCTCCTGCCCGTGCTAATCTCTCTTTCATCTCTAATCGTAGCTAAGAGATTTATTTCAAGGTTCTTATGCCACCAGGTTAAATCCTGCAAAACAGGCCAATTAACTGAGTGCGAACTGAGATCTGACTGACAAAATGGATTTATAGTAACTTCTTTACCTGTTTACCCTCCAGAGGTTTGGGCTAGTGAGCAACAGAGACTGTTCTTCAGTACCTGCTAATGTCTTCATTAGTTCTGAATTTGTTCTTAACAATAAATACGGGTCCAAGAGAGAGAAGAATGAGAATAGTGAAACTTTGTGCTTCTGCGGGAAGGGAAAATCTATCTTAGGCTATCATAATTTACATTCACTATTATGTGCCTTACCCATCACTCCATATTTTGTTGCTTTGGATGGAATTGTCTGTCCTCTGTGTTTTGACTGTAACCATGTCCAGGAAAGGAATTCAAGTAACCAAGAGCAATTGGATCATCCTGTATGACTCACAGTAGATTCTGGTTTGGGAAGCTTTCCAGGTTCAAGAACAATCTAGTAGAAACCTCTGTCCTAGACTCTTAAAAGCTTTATCCCAAGCCAGCAGCAAAAGCATCTTGTCCTCTGGCATTTCTGAGCCCAGCATGTAGCAATCTGTGGGATGGACGTGGCTGGGTTGAACTGGCACAGTAGTGGCAAGAAGCTGAATTTGCAATGATTGACCAAGTTAGTGGCAATGTTAGTACCAGAACGGAATCACTGAGAAGGACCAGGTTTGATCTATAGGGTCCATAATACATCAGCGCAGCAGAGAGAGTTCAGTGAGCACACGTGACTGACTGCAAGGGGCCCTGCACCAGGGATTGTAATGCATATGGATAGTCTCAGAAGCATAAACTTTTAGCTAATGATAAACAATAAACTGACACTACGATATTACTGTGATTCTAACTCTGTACTCTGGGAATATGCCTGCTCACCTCCTTTGTGGTCTCATGCTTTTGTAAAGATAGACACCTCTCTGCGTGCATCAGTATTGTCACACTGATTATCAGGGAAAGGTGAAAGATCAGTTATCAGTGCAACTCCGTCTATCAAAGTCTTGATTAAAGCAAAGACCAGAATATCTGACTACAATATTCTAAGAAGAAAAAACAATTAAGGCTTGTTCACTTGCCAGAAGTCATTTCATACATTACTGCGTGGAAGAGGGAGGCTCGTAATTGCCACTGTCACTGTACCTCCATGGGGTGAAAAACCCCAAGAACATGTCCCAACAGGATAAAGTCATACAGTGAAATTATCTCCCTTTTCAGTTTTTTTCTGATACAATCAAACTCATAACTAATGTTTATGCTGAAAGCTCCATCCAACAATGCATCGTTTAGTACCATATGGCAAACTTATACAGAGCTGTTTCCTTGATGAGGAGGGGGGTCCCTGGAGCCATACAGGCTCAATGTGCCTTTTGCTGGCAACTTCAATTCAGAAAAAAATAATTTACCGTACCTTCACCTTTTGAAAGAAAATATCTGAAATAGGGCTTCCAGCTTTCTATCTTGCTTGTGAGCTGATGTACAGCACATCCAGAAAACTTCAGATCAAGAGCATATGTGATACATCTGGGACCTGTTGGACCTACTGCATATGGACCACACAAATGCTTGCATATGATCAAATATACCCCAGCTGCATTTAATTAGTCCTATGCACGTGGATCATTCATGCTTTGGACTTGCTGCACGCTGGCAGACCACAAGGAATATGTTAGATCTGTTCAAATGTGTACATTTGTGTACAGATCAACCCTACAGAGCATATTCAACAAGTAGAACATATTCCTTGTGGACACCACAGGTACACAAACGTACAAATCTGCCTGGGATTTTTGAGCTATTGCTGTGGCTGGGATGTGATATATTAGAAATCCTGGACAAAGGTCTGCAGTCCTTTTCTATTCTCTAGAAAATTGTCATGTGTGGAAACCGCCCCCCCCATCTGTGGAACCCCAGACATATGTTATTCCTGAGTATCAGAAAATGTTATTGCCTCAGATAACTACGAGTAGAAAAATGCACCTTCCCTGTCGTTGCTTTGCATGCATGCATGAAAGAAAGCAAGCAGAAGATGGCAGTGCTGCTGTATGTAGTTTTTTTCTACAATGCTTAAGTAAAAAGCTTTCTTTTATTTGTGTTAGAGAGATTAGAGGTCACTCAAACAGCTAGTGGAAGCTCAGGAATACATCATTGTAAGAAAGAACTTAAATCCAATCTTAATGCAACTAAAGATCAATGCTTCCTCTATTTTTTGTTCCATCTCATATTGGGAAATGGTTTCAGCTGCAAAGTTAATACTAAAAGTTGAATTATTCAGAAATTAGTTTTGGTTTATGGCAATCTATAACTAACCGTGATGCACTTTCTTACAGACCTGCTGGGAAGCCTGGAGACCAAGACCATAATGACATAGTAGTATTTTGTAACTCAGCAGGAGTGGTTGTACATGTGGGTCTGCCATCTATCATGCAGTGATGTAGAAATAAAACACACACTTTCCTGCTAACAGTGGAGATTGCTGTCCTGTGGCTTTGGATCTGAAAGAGGTAAATTTAATAAATATTTGGCCAGTTACTTACCGGTTTAATACCATTCATATATAAGTCCACAAGCAAGGACAGATGTGTTATGAATTAGCCTAATTAAATAGCTAGTTGGGATGACACATGCTGCAAAATTTAATTTTACATCTAGTTTCAAAAAACTAATGTTTTATTTTTTATATTTGGATGGCTTTCCCTTTCGTCTTATATTTAATTTAAATGATAATTAACGATAAGAGATTTTGGAGTAATGGACTAAAACTGGAGGCATGCAGTACGTCTAACACAAGCAGGTACTATACAACTGTTCTTTAATATGTCAGTGCTTCAGAGGGAGAGTCCGTATTCAGGAAGAGCTTCTCACTGATACGTGTTAATGGGGAGAGGGTACGAAAAAGGGAATTCAGACCATCTGCTTTTTTGGCTTTTGTAAAGTTATGAACCACGTGGTAGATACAGAGAGGCCTAAGTTATCAGGCAAATAGAAGCAATTGGGTCTCTGCAGAATATTAATATCTCAATTGCATTTTTGAACTTTTAGGAAGGAAGTATAGTGGCATCTAGATGATTATACTGATATATGATATGTATTCAGTTAGATTAAGATACCTAAATTAAATCACAACATTTGAAATTCTTATGGAATTGCAAAGTTGGCAGAGGGAATGTCGAAGCTCAAAGGCAAGAGGTAATGGGAATAGACAGTAATTGAAAAGAACCCAGTTTGTACATTAGAATGCCACAAAGCTTATTGCAAACTAAATCCATTATATGTTTTTACAACTACAGCTATACACTGTACTACAGTTGTACCAGAAGACCCGCTGTACTACGTGCCATGCAAAATACAAATACTGTAACTGTAGCTCAATTGCCTGAAGAACATCACAGATTACATGAATCAGAAAAAGAAGTATAGTTTTCATTTTTTGGATGTTTAAAGTTTATAACAATATCGATGCTGGAGCCAGCCTCATGCAAAAAGGAAATAAAAGCAGACTTGCATGAACTGCACTGCACATGTACTGCTAGTCTTCAGGGCTCCTGTATATTTCAGGAAACACCATGTGCAAGTACCTATCAAGCTGGCTCTGATTTCAATCCATAGGAGCTGTACTATCCATAACCTCTGAGTCATCTACTCCTGACTCATGGTGAGTCATTACAAATGGAAAACTAAGGCACAGAAATAGTGTATTCACCTTAAAATCAGGACCAGCAGTCTATGGTAAAGCTGGAAAGTGAACCTGTATTTTAAATTGTTTGGTAATCTAAAACTTCCATCTTGGCTGTAAATTTTTTCTGAGGACTAGAATCCATTTCTATGACCTTATTCACTACTAGACTATGCAGCAATCTTGCTTTTCACCTTCATACCTTATTCACTATGGATTGCATCATCAAAAGCCAGTCATCAGGAAGATTTTTGCAGAATGGAATTATACACGAGGGCTCCCAACAAAATTCCCCTTACATAAGGAGGTAAAATTTCCTTTTTCTATTCCATATCTCATAGCATCAATACTTTGATGCACTATACTGCCAATTGACCCTTCTTTCAAAAAAAATAATCAGACATACACTTTCACATTTCTCCTCAAAGAGGTCTCCTATACTAATCAGGAAGTCTCCCTGTTCTCACCTTATTATAAACCTGATGTTGATGCTGCTTTTCACTCTCTAGACACTATCTGAACTGAACAATATTACTCAGGACATCTTGTGGAGAATCTGAGAGTCTTTTAGAAAGAAAAGACAGTTACCAAAAAAAAAAAGAAAAAAGGCTCACAAAGTTTCTGAAGCTGTCAAATAGACAAAAACCTGCACCTAGACACAGTGCTCTTAGAGCTCTTCTGAAAAACATCCAAGATCCCCTGTCCCTTCAGCAGTAACTTCATGCGTATTGACACTCTGTGTCTATAAATCGTGACCTATGAAAAAAGACTGAAGGAACTCAAGTTTTCTCAGTGTAGAGAAGACTGATCGTGAGAGGTAAAAATAGTGTTCAAGGAATTTTAAGGTAGTTGCACAGAGGAAGGGAATAAATTCCTTTGGTGATAGGAGGAGAAATAATGGGTGAAATCTTTCTTTTGGTGAGAATGGTGAAAAAGCCCATGAAAAAGCTTGATTTCCATCAACAGAGTACTTTTACAAGAGGTTGACAAATACTGGCCAGGAATGTTGTAGCAACAGTTGATCCTTCCTTGGAAAAAGGGCTGAACTAGATGTCTCAAGGTCTGTGATTTTTCATTCGCTATGAACTGGACACCCATTTAAACATCTACAAAACTTTGTAAGTGCTATCTATCTCGTCTTTGGTCAATACTTCTTTTGCGCATTGGCTTTTGCCTGAAATGTGAGCTTATAAAACGTGTTTACCTTTCTACTCTTCAGTGAGAGCATTGTTTCCAGCTCCAATTATATATTCATTTTTAGTTACAATTTTCAACAAATTCTAGGATTT